CGCCCTCGTGCGTAGTGTGCACGCGAAGAACAATGGACAAAAAAAAAGAGTAGCCGTGCAGAAACAAATTAGAAGAAAGTCATTTCAATTTACATGATTTCTATTGAACATTGATCATTTTTCAACCTCGATTATTGATATTTTACGTTAAAGGTTATTTGAAACGATTAATCTATTAATTGGTACAAGTACGAAGTGAGAAAACTTTCATTTTCAATATCTTATATTGTATGACGATTAGCGAGAATATGAAGAAAACAGTAAAGATTGTTGTTGATGTATCTATGTTTCCATCTGCCGAGTTATTAAATGAACCTCGAGTAATTGATCATATCTCGAAACAAGTATACGATATTCTAGAAAAAAAAAGACAAAAGGCACGTGATAGTGCAATAATTAAAGCTTGTAAAAATGCTGTCTCTCTTCTTCTATCGAAGAAAAAAGGAATTCCACCAACAATCTTATCCGTTTATTTGCCAATGAATATTATTGAGTCATCTGATGATACAATTGTACCTAATGTTTCATCTGATGAAGACATATTAGAAACAGGTGTTGGTGAAGATGATGACAGTACTCAAAGCGATCAACTTTCATCATCTAATTCCCAAGGTTCACATATTTCTTTTTCTTTTTTTAACAGTATAATGACAGCAAATACAACGTTCGAATATCTTTTCGATTATTTTAAACATTCTCTATCAATTAATAATAAACCGATGAATCTTGAAAAGATCCTAACGGATGTATGTAGTTATGCTTTTCTTGAACTTAATTATTCTGTGAACATTTGCATGTTAAAAAAAGAAATAAGTCGTCAAATAAGTCAGATAGTGCAATCAGCACGTATACGTGCTACCGGTAAAAGTGTTATCGGAGTTTTACGTACAAAAAATGTTTTCTCACTTATTTTCAAATCTGTCGATTCTTTGAATCGACTTGAACCATTGATGGGATTTATAAGATATAAAAATGATGATTATTTAAGTCCAAGTCTTTTCATTCGAGAAAATAATGGTGAAACTGCTATTTTTCAATTTTATCCATTTTCAAATATAGTTGAGATAACCATCAATGAGATATTAGTGAGAAAAGCATTGTCTTCATTTGATCTAGTACGAGCATTAGATATTAGCGCGATTTCTAATCTTGTTTCACAATGTGTTGCGACATATGATTTAAAATTAAATTTACCGGTTTTTGAAGAAATTCTTAAAACAAAAATATTGTTTCAACGTAGTACATTAAATTCTAATTATTTTCTAACTATGTCTGTAAACGTTGCAGAAAAGGAAGATCAAATTAATAAAGTTAATGAACAAAGTCATATAGATGATACTCATTTCTTCAGTGAAGAAGAAACAGATGCTATTATTGGTCGAACATATAGCACCCGGGGTATTAAACGTTCTTATGAAGAAGATCCTATTTCTGTTGAACCCAATAAAAACATACAGAGACGAAATAAAATAATAAAAGATGAAAGAGACTTATTACATCTAAAAGATACCTATCATCTAACGGATAGTGCTTTTAATGCTATTTTTAAGTATATTCAAAGTAAAAGAAAACTCTGTTCATTAAAACAAATCGAACGACTGAGAAAAAATACAAACTCCAAATTTCCCATTGCGTACACTAAGACAAGCGCTTATGTCAAATTTGAATATGCAGTAAGAACTGCTATTTTCGTTGCTCAAAAATATGAGCTAAAGCTTGATCAGGTTGAAAAACTTAATATTCGTTTTAATATGGACGGTACACTCATCGGAAATAAGCATATAGTCGCAATATCCATAAACTGCATTGAAGGTGGTCGTCAATGCCAAACGTCGACACATCTTGTTCCTTTAGCTCTTTTTGAAGTACAAAAGGAGAACACTGAATTATTACGCAAAACTCTGCCTGTAGAATTTATTGCTGATATAAAATCAGTAAAACATATTTCTGTAGGAGAAAAAAATATAGAAATTCATATTCGATTAGGAGGGGATTTGATGAATGCCGTGTACGTGTTTGGACTTAGTGGCTTCAGTTCTAATTATCCCTGCGTCTTTTGCACGCAACATAAAGATGATCTACATATAACTGAAGAGACTGCTTATGATAAAATAACTACTGAGGGAAAGGGTAAGAACAAGAAAACAATTAAAGTTCATGTTGGTCCCACTTCTTATCATGATTTCACTAAACGAGCACGATCGCTTGCGGAGCAAAGACTTTGCTTATCTAAAAAGGATAATAATTTAGGATATAAATGCGAACCTCTTTTTGGTGATCTTTTTGATTATCAGGATTATTGCGTGGATACGCTACACTTGAAGCTACGAATCTTTGATGTTATTTTAAAAGACTTATTGTCTTACGCTTCTCGGACTGGTAAATATGGAGGCGAGCATTCAATAATTATTGAGAAAAAAATTGATATTCTTAATCAGCATTGCAAGAGAACTATTGGAAATCGTTTTTTCTTTCAAGTAGAAACAGATGATAAAAATAAAGTTATTGCTTCACGTGGAAAGCTTTCTGGTCATCTGCAAGATCTGTTTTTCGTTGATAGCTTTCCTTACAAAGAAATTCTAGGTGATGAAGTTGCAAAATCTGCTCGAAGTGTTGTGAATAAATTTAAAGAACTTCTTAATGAAGTTAAGCATAATTCTGTAAAACGAAAGGGTCATCTAAAACGTCTATGTCTAGAATTTGTAAAAGAATTTCGTCAAAGTGGTCTTCGTACAACTGTTACTCCATATATTCATATAATTGGAAATCATTTATTTGAATTCGATGAATTCAATGACCTTGGAGATTACAATATGCAAGGAGT